ATAGAGCTCCGGACCCCACGTGACTCTCAGTTAGTGGACGCCATTTTGGCATGCATAAAAGGTAAACACGGATGTAACCATGAACATGAACGGGATCCGCTTGGATTTTACTTCGTCGGAGTTTACTTCACACTTTAAAACAGAAGAAATCGTTTTATATAGTCAGAAATTAAATAGACTAAACATCTCCGACCCTTACCGTGCCCCTGGGATACTTTTTAAAAACGCCAGAAGCTGTCGAAGCGGACTTCTTACCGGCACAACACCGGACCTGGCCGGGGAACCCCTTGGGATTTACCCGGAGGAGCTGGCTCCGGCGGCTGGGGAGAGGGAAGTCTGGGACTCTCGACGCTACTGCCCCCGCAGCCCGACTCCGGTTACGCGGATGAAAATGGATGGATGGATGGACAAATAACAGATTTACACGTAAGTAGTCTCGGTGAGACAGATAATAGCAATCCAAAGTGCTTTTTATGTGTGATCTGACAATTGATCAACCATTGCTTAAAAATTAAATACAGCTTAGCCGGTTAATTGCTGTGATCATAAAACACGTAAACGGCAGCATGCAGAACTCACGAGGCAACGTTTTACATGATGTTTACTTTTTGCTATGAGTAATAAGACAGAAAAAGCCACGCCAAAATAAGTTTAGGAAGCCCGCTAAGAATCATAATAAAAGCATTTAAAATAAATACCATACACAGTTGAGGAAACGTTGGTTTAAGTACCTGATATGAAGCGGTCGCTGCATAAGTGAAATCCTTTACTCTCTGGATCCCACAGCTTCATTTTAGCCCGGTCACTAGCACGTTTTATTACAATGATCCAACGTTTGCGGCGCTCCGGATCTTGGGGAATCCTGTAGATGGCTCATTCCTTATGTCGTCCGCGTCTGTTCTGCATCCTGGGGCACAACAGGAATCTACCATATTTCCCGTTTGATTGAGTTTTCTGACAATAACAAATAGTCCAGCTGCCGGCTTCTGCATGCCAATATGGCGCCGTTTCGATTTGAACTGTTGCATGCCGGGAAACGTGACGTCAACTCCCGGAGCTCTATAAGCAGCCATCCTCCACGACTCACTGGGGATCGAGAAGACAGAGCAGACACACACACACACACACACACACACACACACACACACACATCCATAAGCATACTGAATAAGTATTAAAAACTATAGTAAAAGGATGGTAAAATAATCTACAGATTCAGGAGAGAAATGGCTGAAGGAAAGAAACTGTTCTTGTGTCTGGTAGTTTTTGTGTACAGCGATCTATCGCGTCTGCCAGATGGGAGGAGATGGAAGAGAGTAGATGCAGGATGTGTGGCATCTTGGACAATATTCACTGCCTTTTTCCTGGTCCTGCTGATGTACAGTTCCTGGACAGAGGGCAGTTGGGCACCAATGATTCTTCCTGCTGTTTTAATAATACGCTGTAGTCTGCATTTGTCCATTTTTGTGGCTGACCCAAACCAGACAGTGATGGATGAGCAAAGTATGGATTCGACTGCAGCAGTGTAGAAGATGATCAGCAGCTCTTGTGGTAGGCCGTACTTCCTTAGTTGCCGTAAGAAATACATCCTCTGCTGAGCCTTTTTGAGGATGGAGTTGATGTTTGTTTCCCACTTCAGATCCCTGGAAATGATAGTTCCCAAGAACTTGAATGAGTCCACCATTGACACTGGGCTGTTGGATATTGTGAGGGGGGGCAGCACCGTGGGAAGCTTCCTAAAGTCCACGACCATCTCCACAGTCTTAAGGGTGTTAAGCTCAAGATTGTGCTGACTACACCAGACCACCAGCCTCTCAACTTCTCGCTGATAAGCAGACTCATCACCATCCTGGATGAGCCCAATGACAGTGGTGTCGTCTGCAAATTTCAGGATTTTTACAGCTGAGTCATTAGAGGTGCAGTCATTGGTGTACAAAGAAAAGAGCAGTGGAGAAAGGACACACCCCTGTGGTGTACCGGTGCTGATCAGCCTTGTGCCAGACGTAACATTGTTCAACCGCACATGCTGGCTCCTATTTGTCAGGAAGCTGGAAATCCACTGACACATAGCAGGGGAAACAGTGAGCTGAGAGAGCTTTGAGGTGAGGATTATGGTATAACGGTGTTAAAAGCAGAGCTAAAATCCACAAACAATATCCTTGCGTAGGTCCTTGGTTGATCAAGATGTTCCAGGATGAAGTGCAGCCCCATGTTAATTGCATCATCCACTGACCTGTTTGCCCTATAGGCAAACTGCAGGGGATCCAGCTGGTGGCCTGTGGTGCTTTTAAGATGGGACAGCACCAAGCGCTCAAAGGACTTCATGACTACTGATGTCAAAGCCACGGGTCTGTAGTCATTCAATTCGGTAGGGGAGGATTTCTTCGGTACTGGGATGATAGTGGAGCTTTTGAAGCATGATGGAACCTCACACAGCTCCAGCGATCTGTTGAATATCGTTGTGAAGACAGGTGCTAGTTGGACAGCACAGGGGAAGGAGTTACTCCATCTGGGCCTGGTGCCTTCCGTACGTTCTGTCTCCTAAAGATGTTGCAGACATCCTCTTCCTTCACAAGGAACGCTGCTTGTAATTTAGAGGAAAGAGGAGTAAGAGTTTCCAGGTGAGGGGTAGTGGCTGCAGCTATGCTGGAGTGGAGGAGGGGTGTGACATTCCTTTCCTCAAAGCGACAGTAAAAGCCATTTAGCTCCTCAGCAAGGCCATGATTAGCATCAGAAATGAAGGATTGTCTCCTGTAGTTGGTAATTTGCTGAATGTTTCTCCACAATAATGTGGGGTTGTTGGCTGAAAACTGGTCTTTCAGCTTTGCTGCATACTTAATTTTAGCAGCTCTGATCTCCTTAGTCAAAGTGTTCCTGAGAGATCTGTATATAGGCCTGCTCCTTTGCCCGTCTCAGCTGGCTCAGTGTTGCTGTAAACCATGGCTTGTTGTTATTAAAGGTGCGAAAAGTCTTTGTTGGCACACACACTTCCTCACAGAAGGTGATGTAGGATGTCACAGTGTCTGTTAGCTCGTTCAGATCACCTGTGGCATCCACAAATACTCTCCAGTCCGTACAATCAAAACAGTCCTGTAACTCCTCTTTTGCTTCATTTGTCCATTTCCTCACTGTCCTGATGGCTGGCTTTACATATTTTAGTTTTCGTTTATAAGTGGGGATAAGATGAATGAAATTATGTTCAGAGAGGCCGAGAGCTGCACGAGGGACAGAGTGGTATGCCCCTTTAAGAACTGTATAGCAATGATCCAATATGTTTTTGCCTCTAGTAGGACATCTGATGTGCCGTCTGTATTTCGGTAGTTCGATATTAAGTTTAGCCTTATTGAAATCGCCCAAAATAATGAGCACTGAGTCTGGGTACTTGTTCTCTGTGTTCTGATGAAGACAACACGTTCACATGGACGTGTTAAAATAGAAAAAATAAATCATCCTGCAATGGTAATCCATTAAACTGTGCATTCTGTGATAACACTTTTAAACTACAGGTGTCTGTAGTATATATATCACCATCCGTCCGTCTGTCCATCAGAATCAGAATCAGATTCTGTCCAGCCATCCATCCATCCATTTTCTGAACCCACTTGTCCATGCAGGGTCTCAGGGGACTGGTGCCTACCTCCAACAGTCAACAGCAAACAGGAGGGGTACACCCTGAACAGGAAGCCAGTCCATTGCAGGGCAACACAGAGACACACAGGACAAACAACCACGCACACACACACACACACACACACACACACACATACACACACACCAATTAAAATAATGCTGACAGCGTGGACTAGAAGACAGGTGATGGTTTACGTATTTAAATGATGATCAGGCTGATGTAAAATGTAATCTCCATCCACATCCAGACAGAAGTATCCTCTATTCTCTCTCTAGTTGCTCTGCTCTTGTCTGGGCTGATCAGCTGACGGTGCACGCGGCGCGCCTAACTAGCGGCTGATGCACATTTTACGCATTTGGAGAGGTGGGCTGGATGCTGTGCTTTTACTGGAAGATGGTCCACTTAACGCACGGGTGTAGACTACATATTAATGACAAATGAATGAAAATTAAATTGTGAGTTTTTACTTCATATTTTATAAATAAAAATGACGGGGGAAAACATTTATGACGTCTTTTTAAACAAAATTTTCTAGCGCGACCTGCCTGCTTCACTTAAGTCACTGCTTATTAAGGTTCGTCCAGAATTACTGTGGGAAACGGGTAATAATGGCTCTTTGATGGGAACAGGTTGCCGACCCCTGGATAAGATCTGAGCTGGTAAAACAAAAATCCTCATCAGCAGGCGTTTTTGAAAGTGTGTGGGGGGGGGGGGGGGGGGGGGGGGGGGGGGAACGACACACAGCTGCCAATCACAAATTTTGCCGGGGACATGTTCCCGGCGTCCCCGGTTAAAATGACGCCTATGCGCCTAAGGATAATTTAAACAGACCAATTAACCTGACAGCCATGTTTTTGGACTGCAGGAGGAAGCCAGAGTACACGGAGAGAACCTACACATGCACAAGGGGTAAAATGCTAACTCCATGCAGAAAGTCCTCAGGCCGGGATGCAAACCCAGAACCTTCTTGCTGCAAGGCAGTGCTAACAACTGTGCAGCACCATTTTAACTCTCAATTAGCAAATCTGCAAAGTAGTCAGCTTCATTTTTTACAGTTATTATAGCAATTAGCGTAAGAAGCTACTGTGGGGTCTTTCCAGCATGAGTATATGGGTGAACAGCTTTATTTGCACACCTTTGTGTATGTAAACAAGTTTTCAGATGAAAAATGTGAGCAAAAACAAAAGTGTTGCGTTTGTTTAATGTAAATAGGAGACACGAGTCTCTGTGATGACAAAAGCCTAAATTACTGGAGTGAGTGTGTGCAAATAAAGCTGCCCTGCTATTTTATTTTGATGTACGTTCTGTTTCAAGAAGTTTTTTTGTACACTTAATTTTTCAATAAAGTTTTTAGAAAAAAAATCAGAAGCGTTCAACACCTTATTGGTTTACATTTGTGTCAGTTGTGACGTCAGTAAATGTTAGCCAATAGCAGTTCGAGTTGATGGACAAGGGGCGTATATTAACAGTATAAAAGAAGAGTGGCATTGTTCTCGATCTTTCTCCGTAGATCTAGGTGTGAGCAGACAAACTTGTTGGACTCAGTCGAAAGGAACAGCCATGAGGGAAATTGTACATCTCCAGGCCGGCCAGTGCGGTAACCAGATCGGTGCCAAGGTGAGTAAAACGCTACTAACTGTTTAGAATATGTTACGTGGAAACACACCCCGGTAGATTTGCCGTGATCTACTGAACAGGAGCTGTTAGCAACCATTGTTTCATCTTGTTCTCTATAAATTCCACAAGATGCTCAGTTGACTTTTCCTCGTCCTAGGCAAACCTTTTTTGAACACTCAATAATCAGACATGTGTCTATCTCTCACCCTCCGGTGTTACACTCTGTAGACTCCGGGCGGAACACACGGTTAAGAGCAATTCTCATTGCTACAACCATGAACACACGGTCTTGTCGACGTTACTTGGCTGATTAACTGAGAGTAACGGTTAGTGGGGGGTAGGTGTAAGCACAACGTGTTTTTGGCCAGCAGGATATGGCAGTTCAACGCTCACCCGTAGCTTGAATATAGTTTTTATTCATTCTGGTCTTGAGTCAGAGGCCTGCTAGCGCCGCCCGGCTAACGGCCATCGTGAGTTGTTGGTGACGTAACAATAGCTGCGCGCGCGCGGCCTCACCACTTATTGGCTCTAAAACGCCAGTTTCTTGTCTTTGAGCCAGTAAGAGGCAAGGCCGCGCGCTGGGTGCTGAAATGGCGGGAATGCTGTTTGTACCTAATCGAGTGTAGGAGCGTTTTCTTTTGAATTCCCCTCCCGCTGCCGCTCCCGCCTCGGCGCACACCACAATAAGGTCAAACCGCGTTACACATCCAGTTGTTGTGCGTTCTTCCGTTTGATGTTCTCTGTCTGAATTGTTGACTACCTCTGGTGTGCTATCATCTACGAGCATTAAACACGTAAAGCTTATTTCACGTTTTGTTGCAGTTTTGGGAGGTCATTAGTGACGAGCACGGCATTGACCCAACTGGAACCTACCATGGGGACAGTGACCTGCAGCTGGACAGGATCAACGTTTACTACAATGAAGCGTCAGGTGTGTATGGAAGCTTTTAGGTGTTGCATTCAATGTGTTTCTGTTTTAACTACTTTCTGTTTTATAGGTGGTAAATATGTGCCACGTGCCATCCTTGTGGACCTTGAGCCAGGCACCATGGATTCTGTGAGATCTGGACCATTTGGCCAGATATTCAGACCTGACAACTTTGTTTTTGGTGAGTTATTTGGACTTGGTGGTTTTGCCTGCCTTTTAAAGTTCAAACTAATTGTGCTGTCTGACCTGCAGGTCAGAGTGGTGCAGGCAACAACTGGGCAAAAGGCCACTACACCGAAGGTGCAGAGCTGGTGGACGCGGTTCTGGATGTGGTGAGGAAGGAGGCAGAAAGCTGTGACTGCCTGCAGGGCTTCCAGCTTACACATTCCTTGGTGGTGCACAGGGTCAGGCATGGGAACCCTGCTGATCAGCAAGATCCGTGAAGAGTACCCAGATCGCATCATGAACACCTTCAGCGTTGTGCCTTCTCCTAAAGTCTCCGACACTGTAGTCGAGCCCTACAACGCTACGCTGTCGGTCCATCAGCTCGTAGAAAACACTGATGAGACCTACTGCATTGACAACGAGGCCCTCTATGACATCTGCTTCCCGCACACTGAAACTAACAACTCCCTCCTACGGTGACCTAAACCACCTGGTCTCTGCAACCATGAGCGGTGTGACCACCTGCCTGCGATTCCCCGGACAGCTCAACGCTGACCTGCGCAAGCTGGCCGTCAACATGGTGCCGTTTCCACGTCTGCATTTCTTCATGCCTGGCTTTGCTCCCCTCACAAGCAGAGGCAGTCAGCAGTACCGGTCCCTCACCGTGCCAGAGCTCACCCAGCAGATGTTTGATGCCAAGAACATGATGGCGGCCTGTGACCCGCGCCATGGGCGCTACCTGACGGTGGCTGCCATCTTCCGTGGACGCATGTCCATGAAGGAGGTAGATGAGCAGATGCTGACGTGCAGAACAAGAACAGCAGTTACTTCGTTGAATGGATCCCAAACAATGTCAAGACCGCTGTCTGCGACATCCCCCCCAGAGGTCTCAAAATGGCTGCCACATTCATCGGCAACAGCACCGCCATTCAGGAGCTGTTCAAGCGTATCTCAGAGCAGTTCACTGCCATGTTCAGGCGCAAGGCTTTCCTCCACTGGTACACAGGAGAAGGGATGGATGAGATGGAGTTCACAGAGGCTGAGAGCAACATGAATGATCTGGTGTCTGAGTACCAGCAGTACCAGGATGCTACTGCTGAAGAGGAGGGAGAGTTTGAAGAGGGAGAGGAGGAGCTAGCTTAAACCTGTCCTGTTTTTGAAGCTGACATGTTGTGTTTTTCAGTTGGCTCATTCTTTTTGTTAAACTGTCTGAAGTTTAACCTAGCTCATGTTTAAGTCCTCGTTCTGGGCTGGTTCGTTCCACGGTCCAAATGTTGTGGGTTTTTCCTGAGCTTGTTCGCTCGATACCACAGTTGTCATTAGCATGCTGTTCAGAGCAGTATACAATGTTGGATGGCTGCAGGCTTGAATATGAGTACTATTTACATTTGTTTGCTAGTTCTTTGGAGCAAGGCCTGAACCCAAACTTCTGTATGCAAAAAAACGTTGTAGGAATTAGTCCTGTAAAATGACCTTCAGCCAACAGGTGGCGCTGCTGTTCAGAAGTATGAAGGCTGGTTTGCTGCTGTCCTGTAGTTTTTGGGGCTGATTTGTTCGAATAAAAGATGTTCTGAAAGGATCGTTGTCATGTCTGTTTAATCGAACATGTCTGCTTCACGCTGACCCAGCTAAAGGATGCAAAAGTTATCTGGGGCTTGTCCGGTGGGCTAGGGTCTGGTTCTCATCTGTGGCCAGATGATTGGCTGTTATAAAAGGTAACTAGTCTGGTAAATTATGCAGTATGAGCTAAAGCATCCAGACCTCACCTTGGTGGTACTAGCAGCACTGCTCAAGGTGAGCAGGGAGGTGGGGTGGAACTGATCTGAACCATAGAGGAGCCAGCTTTTCCACTGGGTCTGCGTAAAACCCCAACATGACCAGTTCTCTTCACCTACACTGAATAAACCACCGACTCATCTGTACTGGACAACCTGGTTCAGGGTGGCTGTAGTTTCTAACGTGGGAAACATCTGGGTGAAGTGCTCCAGCTGTGGGTTCAGTTCAGACTCCTATGTGAACACCTGGCTGGTCTGTAACTGAAGCCCTCATTGGTTCATTTGAACTGTTTTGTAGAACTGCTCTCAGAGCAATGTGCCGATTAAAACCGGGTTTTATTTTAAAATCAAATATGCTGTTTATGAACACACCGATCAGCATTTGAACAACTGAGGTTGTGTGTGGAAGGCAGCAGTGGTGTTTCCCCACTTGGGGGCGCTACAGAGACACCACATTTGGAGTGAGCCTTTCATCTGTAAATGATCCCATCACACATGCTGCAGAAAACACCCTCTGCTTCATGGGAACACCTTATGCTGTGTGGACCAGCCGGACTCATGTCCTGAATTGTTGAAGGACAGGAGATGTGATCAGGTGTCCACACACATCTGCCTGCAGCTCATCTATGGGATGGAAGATAAAGCCGATCTCCTTGGCCGTCAGCAGGAGTTGTGGCTACAGTACGAGGTGCATGGCTGCCAACTTTGGTCTGAAGGACAGAACGTCCAGGAAGAAGCCTGAACAAAGGCCAGAACCACCTCAGCTGGCTTTTCTCCACATGGAGGAGCAGAAGCTCTACTCAGTTTCTCCAGGATCTCTCAGCTCTTCGCCCCGTCTGAGGCAGAGCCAGTCACCCTGTAGGGAGGGGGATGCTGAGGTGGTAACACCTCATTTCTCAAATCAAGATAAAACACCCAATAGTAATAAAACTGCATGTATAAAGTTTGTAATTATGAACTTTAGGGGTTGGGGTTCCCCGCCTGCAGAAGAAACTCAGTTCAGCCTTGGATTCGTAATCTGTTCTTTCAGCTCTGCCCACGGCTCGGGACCACAGGTGAAGGATGGGATGTAGATCAACCAGTAAGTCAGGATCTTCACCAGACCAGCGGATGCTGCTCCAGCCTCCTGCAGATCTCCCACCCATCATGATACTAAGCTCTCTCTCCGCAGACCTGGAGTAGGACATCAATCTTCTTCCTGTTTGATCCAGACCTCGGGTATGGAGTTGCTGATCCTCCTCCAGAATCCACCCAAACGATTCCAGGTTGGTTTTTCTCCTTCCACGCCTCCCACAGAAGCTAGTCTGATGTTTGTTCATCATGGAGCTGCAATCGGCTGAAGTTCAGGGTCTCCTGGCTTGTCTGTAAAAATCAAGTCTCAGTCTTGGTTCGGCATATGAAGGTCTGTCCGTGGAGCCTCCTTGTTTTAGGATCTGGCATGACTTCTGCTGGACCAATCATGACGTTACTTGTGTCCATACCTGAAACCTGCTGGTCCAGAAAAGCTGCTTTCTAGAGGAGACTGCTTCACCGGAAACGACCAGCAAAGCTACAGAAGTGGAATGCAGCCCTCTTCTATGCTCTCATCTCTAAAGGCCCATTCCCATCTGTACCGGGTCGGCCCGGGCCGGGTAGCGTAGGTTGTTTACATATCTGGGTGGCCTGGTATTTTTCCGGCCAATCAAGGCTCATTCTCAGCCCTCTTCTCGAGGGGGTCTGCTTCAGACCGACCAGGGCCAACACACCCACTGCTGACAGCAAATTCACACCTTCCATTAGAGCAAGCCTCTGATTGGTGGGTAGAATCAGCCCACATGGGCTTAAGGCAAGGATGTGTGGAATCAACCGGGCCAGGCTGGGGCTACCCGGCCCGGGCCGACCCGG